GGCACTTTCTGTTGAAACTGGGCTTTCAACCGGAAACCAAATTGAGCATAGTGTAGCTGCAATTGTTTTCTTAAATACGCATCAAGTAGACTCTCCAGTACCTTTGCTAATATTGTAGCCAACGATATAGGTCTATAGTTGGTTATATTTTTTTTATAATTGGCACAACAATAGTCCTCATTATATTATTAGGTAGACTTCTATGTCGTAGGCACAGTGAAAAGAACAAACCCAAAACCCTAGGAAGATGGCCAACAGCATGTTTCAAATACTGAATGTTAAGATCATCATACGTAGGAGACCTCCCCCTTTTTATGTTCATAATCACTGCACCCACCTGTTAAGCTGTGAAGCGAACTGGGTTTGTGTCAGACGGGACCTCCATGTAGGTTTTACCGTTTATGGGTCCTAAAGGAGAGTCACCATTAAAATATTGCATAAAATTTTCAACAATTTTTTGTCATTAGTGTTACCAATGCTCACAGGAAGACCAGGCCGCAGATTTAATTCATTTGTGGATTTTCAAAATTTCTTGAAGTCCTTATTACAAGTGAGTAGCTATTATGTCCATTTTAATTTGTTCTTCCCGATTCTGGCACCATTTTAACTTAGATTTACACACACAGACACAATACCCCCTTTAGGTTTGCTACATTGTATCCTGGACCTATGAGCATCTTTTACATATTTATTCCACCCGACTACAGTTTTCTTTTTGCTAGTACTGGTACTGCCTTCATATGTCATAATTGCGATCGCGCTTAACGTATTTACTATAGTCTCATACATCTTATCTAAAGTCCCTATGTGATCTATACATGTACACATACGATAATAATATTGCACTCCTTACACTTCGCTGCATCCATTTTTGATCTCGTGCGCAACCTATCGATTATCACTGCAGCAATATCACTGTTATTTTTTTCTATTAGTAACTTAAGTAACATAGAAATTCATCCTAGTTTCAAATTAAAGCTAAAATATCTGAAGTTTAATGAAAAACACAAAATTAAGTTACATATTTACTTGGAATTATAGAAAATTTTAAATTTTTATTTAACTTTAACTCGTCATGGTAAAAAAAACTACTATGGCAAGTTATTATAAAAGTTAGCACAACTAATTAAGATTCGAAAATGGTATAATACTCTATTGACAAGAACAAGAACCAAACTATTATTAATTATTATCCCTAAAAACGTTATTGTGTGCCCCAAAAACAGGATTTGGGTAGATTTTTGAAGTGCGAGTAAGATAGATAGTTACACAATTGGTAAGCAAGAGTGCAGTTGGTAGTGAAGCTATTAAAGATGTAGAGCAAAACAGAGACAGTTGACGCGATTATCTATGAGTATAAACCAGTAGTGCGCGAGCGAACATAAATGCTAAACGATTTGTCTCCGAAGAAATTAATCGACCGCGAAAATTACTTCCGGACCGATATGTTTTTACATTACAAAATTAAATAACTGCCATGAGTAATTTGAGTCCGATGTCTTACACAAAGGGGGTATATTTTAATATTTTGACTTCGGTGAAAGATGGATTAGCCGTAGTGGAGCGGTCAACTGGTCGGAGTGATCATCTAATCCAGTGATTCCCAAAGTGGTCTATATCGACCCCTAGGGGTCTATGACAACCTGCAAGGGATCTACGTCAGCGAAAAAAAATTTGGGGGTCCATGAAATGAAAATGGGGTCCACAATAGTGGATCTCAACACATACACTGATAGTACCTATTTACTTACATCATACTATCTTATAATATCAAAACATATACATTATTTATAAAAGTACCTATGAAGTAAAAATTTATTATATATGTTTATAAAATTGTGTAAGTTGTAGGATGTTGGTATTCGCTTTGTGGTCGCAATACATTTTGAACTTGTAAAAACCTGAGAGTCGCAGTCTCAGAGCTTCGCTACCTTGCACTGACTTGTTCAATTCGTCACTCTATAAATACGAATGTGGGGACAAATACGTTTATTCGTTTCCTGAATCTTGAAAAGGAAAGTGCTAAGTAAATATTTAAAAAAAATATAAACAGATAGTATATCACACAAATTATAGTGAGTCAGTGTTATTTTGTTTGAGAGTGCTGGAGAAAAGTAAGTACATTATTTTTTATTAAATTTTAGTTTTGTACTCGTAGTTAGCAAAGATAGATAAATTACGCCAATCATGACTTTAGTTATTAGTAGTTTAATATTCAATCATGCAAAATTACACGAGTACTCCTCAATAGTTTCTTTTTGAAAGTTTTAGCAATCCGTATTATAATTACTACTATTACAATTATTAAAATAAACAATTGCCTATGTGCCTTTTATGCAACAAAGTTTTGGGCAATGACGCTATGAAACCATCTAAACTGCAAGATCATCTGAGAAGATGCCACTCTGATAAAACAGAGAAAGATTTGAAATACTTTCAAACCCTCAAAGATAAACTTCAGAAGAGACCTACACTGGACAGAATGTTCGCTTCGACGTCACAAAGAAATGATGATAGTTTGCGGGCGTCTTACAATATCTCGTTACTTATAGCAAAATCCGGAAAACCGCATACTATCGGAGAGAAGTTAATTTTGCCAGCCGTTGAAGAGGTTTTAAAAACTGTTTTACACAAACCTGCATCTGATATCATTAAAAGAATTCCCTTAAGCAACAATACTGTTGAAAGACGTATTGATTAAATGAGTTCTGATATTGAAAGCTTCTTATGTAATTATTTGTAAACGACCCATTTCTCTATACAACTGGACGAGTCAACTTTACCTGATAATGCAGCATTATTATTGGCATATGTTCGTTTTATTATGAATCAAGAAATCAACGAAGAACTGCTCTTTGCAAGAACTTTGATAACCGACACTATAGGTGAATCAATATTTCATGTTTTGAAGGATTACTTCATTGAAAAAGCAGTTCCTTTATCAAATATAATATCAGTAGCAACAGATGGAGCACTTGCCATGGTTGGACGTTATCGTGGATTTATAAGCTATTTAAAACAAAATGAGTCAGGGGTGTTAGCAATACATTGCGTCATCCATTGACAACATTTAGTTGCTAAAAATTTGAGTGTTAGATTGCATGAATCACTCTCTCTCTCTCTGACTTCGATTTACTGCGCGCAGTTATTTGCGCAGTTGTGTGAAGAAAATGATGAACACTTTCATCAATTACTCCTTCACACTGAAGTACGCTGCCTGTCGAAAGGCTTATGTTTGACAAGATTTTTTGCACTTTTTGAGACTATTTTAGAATTTCTAGATACTAAAGATAAAATTTTAAAAGAAAATTTAATGAAGAGGAAAACAGACATCGCCTATTTAACAGATTTGTTTACAAAATTTAATATGGTTAATTTTCAATTACAAGGCGACAGTTTAAATTTGAACAAAGTCCATCTTATCAGCGTTTCTTGCCAGAGTTAAACTAATGAAGCAAAATATTGGACGGGGCGAATTTTCTCAGTTCCCCCATTTGTCACAGACAAGCTGCCAGGAAGACGACGTTTCAACTTACGTTCAATATTTAAATGCCCTCAGATTTTGAATCTAGGTTTGAGGATATTTTGACTATGGTAATACCACCGTGGATAATTAATCCATATGGTGACATAGAAGAAACGAATGTCATAATACAAGAGGAAGTGACTGAACTAAGTACAAACGAAGAACTTAAGGTTCAGTTTAAAAACGGATATCAGCAATTCTGGCTGCAAAACAACATACCAGTTACTTATCCCGTATTATGGAATATAGCGAGGAAATTTTTAATTTCCTTTCCATCGTCATACCTTGTGGAAAGGGGGTTCACTGCTGTTACCAATCTCCTAAAGAAAAAAGAAACAGACTGGACATCATTAGCCGAGGAGATTTAAGATTAACCCTTACAAAATTGACGCCAAATGTTGATAATTTATTATTAAAGCATCAGGTCCTATCTCCTTCCATCACCATCCTTCTCACTAAAAATATTGACTTATTGCTTATTTTATTTTATTTATAGTTTATTTTATATTAATTTAATGCTACGTATATTTTACATAACAGATACAAAATTTTATTTTGAGTAGTTTTAATTTAAATTCAATTAATAAATGTATAAATTAACATGTGTTTTACTTTAAGTTTTTAACACTAAACTTCACTACAGTTAGAAATTTACAGGAAATCAATATCAGGTAAGTAGGGGGGTCTACCCAACACGGAAAAACATGGCAAGGGGTCTACGACACAAAAAAGTTTGGGGAACTCTGATCTAATCTCATACCTCTAGGATTTTTATCTCTGTGGTACAATAATTAAGCAATCAGCCCGTATTTGGAAAAAAAAGGCGAACCGAGGTGGAAAAGCTTATGGGAATAGTTGCAGCCTTTGCAAAAATTAAGTTTGTGAAGAGAGAAATGTCTGTTGTGCAGCGCGTGCGCACAGACATTATAATATAATCCGGTGTCGCAAGTACAAGGCCGTCGTATAGAACAACATGTTCGTGGTCGTCAAGTAGACATAGTGATGAATGAAATGAAAGTGTTTGTGCATAATTATCACAATCGGTCGAAGTAAAATTTTAAAAGTTGTGATAATCGATTAGCAAAGTATTATTATGTGACGAGTTCATGCTGTGTGGGATGTACTACGGCGCTGGCCACCACGGCCTGTTCTTTTGCTTTGGCTTGCGTCATCAGTTTATGCAGGGGTAATCAATCCACATGACATATCATCATCATCATACATGTATATTATATCATAGTACCTCAATATATTGTATAGCTTGTCAAATTTTAAAGTATTAAAAAACGTTATAATAAAAAAGTCGGATTTTTCCCTAGGTAGTCATCAATTGTCTACTTCCTGGTGCCCGGTTAAAGTTGAATTTTGAGACACGTTGTCTATTCTGGGACTTTATTGTAACAAATAAGTTGACCTCACTCCCAAATAGCGACATATAGCGAGCGTAAAATGATTGGTGGTGGCGGTGTGTCAGGTTGGACGAGTCGGGGTCGGGCGTGGCGAGCGGCGTGGCGGTGGGCGTGACGGACGTGGCGCTGCTGCGCGGTGCGCGCGACGCGCCGCTTTACGCCGTGCACGAGCACGACTCGCTGCTGCGCGGCTCGGCTGAGCAGCAGCTGCCGGAGCACGAGCGCGCCGCCGCCTGGCTGCAGTTCGAGCAAGAGCAGGCGCACACGCGTCAATACACAACCCTATTGTATCGTATTGTATTGTACATTATATAATTGTAATGTAATACAAACTGTGCACGAGCACGACTCGTTGCTGTTGTACATTATATATTGTAATGTAATATATTTTTTAACATTTTACATGTCAGGGGGTGTAAATGAAGATTGTAATTAATAAAACTGTTTGGGTACATAAGCTATGTTATAGTATGTATTTTTAAATTTAAATTTATAAATTTTATGTTTTTTTTTTTTAAATATTGGATGGCTCTCGATAGATGGCTCGTTTCCGTCACGCGTAGAATATCCATACTAGTGAAGAGCGACAGCTTTCAGCGGAAATTCCAGTACTGCGAGTGTCAATCTGTGTGCCCAATATAGTAAATCCTATCACAACGGGAGACACCCACACCCAACCATGAACTTCAACAGGCTGATGAAGAAGTTTACTCCTATAATTACTTTCAACATAATAGTTCAAGAGATAAATTAAAAAAAAACGTGATGTCCTTCCATATTTATGCACGCGCTCATGTACGAAGGAATCAAAATTAACCGGTTTCTATAACTTAAGTTATTTTAATAAATTTTGATATTAATTTCTTTCACCATTTTTTTCAGAAATGAAAAACTTAGGACAGAGTTCGTTTAAAACGCCAACAAAACGACTTCATGGCCATGATTATGCAAAGTCACCAGTGCATTCACCCGTTGAAATCAAAAACGAGAATGACGCAAAAGTACCAAAAGCAAAAATCAAACTAAGGTCAAGAAAGACTTGTAAAAATTATTTCAAAGATAGAATACTTTTAGAAAAAGAACCAAGCACCAGCAAGAAAATCGTAACTGATGATACCACCAATAAAGAATCTATGATGGTACAACAGATCAAACACATATTAGTCCAAAATGACTTTCATAACCGTTACCATGCCTCCGATATAGAGAACTGCGTAACAAAGGTGCGCCAAGTGGTTGACGCTGCTCTTAAAGAAGGCCATACTAATGTAAGTGATACTGTAACGGAAAGTATATCAAAGGTATTACTTAACTCGGATACAGGTATCCTTGATCCCCAATTTTCGAAAAATCTAAAATGGAACATGGCCAAATTACCTCAAATGATGAGATAAGCACTGAAAAACGCAACAAAAAAGATGACTGCGATGAAACTAAAAAAAGCACAACTACAAATAAAAGCAAATATCCAAATAGAAAAGAAAATAGAAGGAAACGAACTCCTCAAAAAAAAGAACAATTAACACCTTGCCAAAGTGAAAGCCAAGACAGTAGTAGTACAAATAATATGCATAAAAGGAGAAGAAAAGCCGCATTGAAGGCAAGAGAGTTCCATGATTCATTGGACCTAACATTTAAACAGGATGACGATGATGAATGGAATAATAGTACCATTTCATCATTAAAGAAAACTAAAGCGGGGAAAAGCAAAAGTGAAACTGCTACCTGTAATAAAGAAAAAGAAGTTCTGACCGAGAACGACAATTCATCATCAAAGAAATATAAGGCAGGGCAAAGTAAAATTGAAACTGTTACCTGTAATAAAGAAAAAGAAGTCCTGACCGAGAACGACATTTCATTATCAAAGAAATGTAAAGCAGGACAAAGTGAAACTATTACCTGTAATAAAGAAAAAGAAATTGTCAATGTTTTAAACAGAGTAAAAGACTCTTTAGATGAAGAAACACTTTCTGGCTCTTCCATACCTGAAGATTTTAATAAAAACGGAATAGTAGAAATGAACAGTATACTTCTAAGTGATAACGATGATGACCTCATTATAGAACCTAAGGAACCTGAAACTAGCAAAAAAGTAAAGAATATAATTGAAAAACAAAATGAAGATGACGATAATGAACAGATTCTCTTACATCCATCATTATTAACCAATAATAATTATATTAAAATAGTAGCGCATACATACTTGACGGGAAATCCAATGTTAGATGAAGATGCTGCTGTTTTAGCGGCTCAATATAGTACACACAAAGCATTAAAGGAAATCGAGATGACCGGAAAAGACTTGTGCAGTGGTCCTATTTATGATATTGCTGTCAAAGTATGTATAAGTTTTTTTTCTTCATTCATCAAAAGCATTTTTTTTTCAAAATTCCGACGTTCTGCCTTTATTTATATACTGGAAGTTAATATGTGCATACTCCTTGTTATGTAATAAATATTAATCATTGAAATCCACATACTTACTTCCTATGTACTACTCCACTAAAACAATTCGGCACATAACAGCTAAGACGTGATTGGAACTGGGGTGGAGAATACCAAATAACTTGAACAATTAACGTACTTAGTTTATACTTGTGACTAGTGTACTAGTCACTTGTATGTAATTATTAGTCTTATTTGAATGATGGGAAGATTTTAGTTCCTACTAGAAAAAATTAAATTCTGCATCGGTTATACATTTTTTTTAAATTTGAATATTCAAAATCAAAATATTTATATTTTTTTTAAAGAAAAAAAATTTTTTTTAAAGAGATTTCAGATTTCACGATTTTGATTGATATTTCATAGTCGTTAGAGGAATTTAACTCATCGATCTCTGACACATCCAAAATCATTTAACGAGAGTTAGTCTTCACTGTCACCACGCACATTTATTATAAAATCTCTTGCCCAAAGCTAGTTCTCAACCTTCTTTTCTCAATGACTCCGCCGTAATCATTCGACATGTTCATCATGACAATTCTTTTTTCCAAACATCTAGTGTGATAGTCTGTATCAGGATGGCGCGAAACCCATAGTAAAATATAAATGTGCGGAACGGGTGCTAATTCTAATGGCGGCTTTCGCCACGCCGCGCCGCTTACTTTTATGCATGTATTTTTCTGATCTTTTCTTACGTAATAATGTCTATTAAAGACGTTATCAAATCAAATAGGCATCAGAACGGTTACATTTGTGTTGGTACAGCATTTTAATATGATTTTCATTTCAGTGTAAAAAATATAATCCTTATATACATAAACATTATATAAATTGCGAAATATGTGTTGTTAGATGCGATAAGATTAATAACAATGAAAGGTTCTTCATGGCAAAGTTCTTCTTATATTATGATAGGTGGATTTCAACTTAATTTTAATTAAGGCGAATATGTATATATTTGGGCTTTTATTTGTGGTAATACCGTGAATTTCTTAACAGAAATACCCAATTGAATTTTGGTCCAACCTGAGATTATAAACCCAGGTTAGGCAATAATTATAACACTCCAATTAACGAAATGCGTAACTCATAACGAAAATCTTAAGAAGCAATAAAGATACATTATCCCTGCCGAGAGCTAATACAAGAATAAGTCCACGAATCACGATTACATACCACTAAAGGAAGCGCGGGGAGTCATGCGGGATCCGGGCGCCAAAACCGCATACATGTGATATACCTAATTGTTTTGGTTGAATAATAATGATTTCTTATATTTACGCGAACACTACACATTGAAATAATACTAGTTTTTACGGAATTTATCGCGTATATTTAACTTTTTAAATACCCGACGTTTCGAGAGCTTTACAGCACCCATGGTCACGGGAAGGACTGAGATGTTCAACGTCCAGCTGTCATAGTTAACCGCGGTTACCGTAGATTAAAATTTAACTTTTGTTCCGATCTACACAGTATGAACTTATGGTATCATGGAGTCTTGCAGTTGTATGCTTGGGTTGGGATTTAATTTTATTTATTATAGGATCCCAAGCAGATGGTAGCACCCAGCCATCTTCTCTATTGAAATTAGGATGTTTTTTGATTTCAATAGCCTCGCGAATCATCCTTGGAAGGAATCGGTGTTCTTTAGCGAGGATTTGTGGTCTATCAAATCTGATGTAGTGACGGGGGTGATCCTGTACATGTTCACAGACTGCAGACTTCCCGGAGCGTCGATTCTTCACATCAGCTATATGTTCTTTGACGCGGGTTTTAATTGATCTTTTAATTTGTCCTATGTAGGAGAGACCACATTCACAATCAAGCTTGTACACTCCTGCATCTTGCAGAGGGACGTTACACTTGACTGATGGTAAAAACTGACCAACTTCTTCGGCGGCTTGAAGTATGTTTTGATGGAAGCACGCTTCAAGATGTAGCCAATCTTGTCAGTGACTCCTCTAACATATGGCAGTACAGCAGGTACACGCTCGACTGTGGCCGGCTTCACTCGTTCTCTGTGACATAGGCGCGGGACCCGAATCTTGTTGTCATGCAAAACTTGCTTGACATGTTGGGGCTCGGCAGCCAGGTGTTTACTGTCACAGATCCCTCGTGCTCTCTGAAACAAAGATTTACCCACGGTAGCTAACTGTGAAGGATGGTGGTGAGAATCACCGTTTAAATATCTATCTGTATGGGTCTTTTTTCTATACACAGTATGGCTCAAGGTGTTATCAGGATTCCGAATTACTAACACATCTAGAAAAGCTAAGGAATTGTTTGCCTCTAACTCCATCGTGAACTGAATTTTAGAATTTATAGAGTTAAGATGGTCTAAAAATGCAGTTACTTTATCTAAAGGTAGAATTGTGAAAGTGTCGTTTCTCACAGTCGAGCGTGTACCTGCTGTACTGCCATATGTTAGAGGAGTCACTGACAAGATTGGCTACATCTTGAAGCGCGCTTCCATCAAAACATACTTCAAGCCGCCGAAGAAGATTGGTCAGTTTTTACCATCAGTCAAGTGTAACGTCCCTCTGCAAGATGCAGGAGTGTACAAGCTTGATTGTGAATGTGGTCTCTCCTACATAGGACAAACTAAAAGATCAATTAAAACTCGCGTCAAAGAACATATAGCTGATGTGAAGAATCGACGCTCCGGGAAGTTTGCAGTCTGTAAACATGTACAGGATCGCCCCCGTCACTACATCAGATTTGATAGACCATAAATCCTCGCTAAAGAACACCGATTCCTTCCAAGGATGACTCGCGAGGCTATTGAAATGAAAAAACATCCTAATTTCAAAAGAGAAGATGGCTGGGTGCTTCCATCTGCTTGGGATCCTATAATAAATAAAATTAAATCCCAACCCAAGCATACAACTGCAAGACTCCATGATACCATAAGTTCATACTGTGTAGATCGGAACAAAAGTTAAATTTTAATCTATGGTAACCGCGGTTAACTATGACAGCTGGACGTTGAACATCTCAGTCCTTCCCGTGACCATGGGTGCTGTAAAGCTCTCGAAACGTCGGGTATTTAAAAAGTTAATTATACGCGATACATTCCGTAAAAACTAGTATTACTTCAATTGGTTGAATAATACTTGATATTTTTCTGTATCGGAAATTTTATAAATATAATTGGGTATTTCTCCACTAACTATGCAACTCAGTGTTTCGGTATTAATCTTAGATATAAATGTATAATGAATTATATGCCTGCATGTTATGAAATTTGAGAAATTATTTTTCTAATCATTATTTACTTTCTACGAGCCGTGGTAGCTCAGTGGTTAACGCTCGCTGTAAATATAACAGAACGCGAGTAACCCGGGTTCGATCCCCGCCGGCACCAATGAAATTGTTAATTGCAATTTTAAGTGTTGATTTACCACGTGCTCGCCGGTGAAGGAAAACATCGTGAGGAAACCTGCATGTCTGAGGAATGAGAAAAAAAAATATTTCGAAGACATGTGAAGTTCGACAACACGCATTTGGGCAGCGCGGCGGACACTTCCTTGCCCTAAACCCTCTCAGAAATGAGGGGAGGCCTGAGCCCAGCAGTGGGACGTATATAGGCTGTAACTTTACTTTTTACTTTTTAACTTATTTACTTTCTAAATACCAAAAACAGTCCCCTGGTTGGTCACCAATTCAAAAAACATTTTCTAGTCAATTTATTTAAATGCTTTTAATTGTAAGTAAACTATTAAGTAATAGTTTTTTATACATTTGTAGTTAATTTATATAAAAACATCATTTCTCAATTATAATATTGATTTTGAATTGTATAAAACTGAGCTAGAATTTTGTCCAAAAATTTGAGCACAGTCCCCTGGTTTACTTATAAAATGTTACTAATATAATATCTTTACCCGACCGCGCGATGATATGAGTGAAATGGAACGTTACCGGTGTGAAGTTGATCCCTTGAAGTTTGAGAATGCATCGCCATGTTGTTTAGTATGGCGCAAATTTTTCGAGCGGACGTCCACGTAAAAAATAGTTCAAGCCACAGTCCTCTGATGAATCCCTTTTTATATATCGTGTTTGTAGTTGAATTTATTACTTTTTGATTTTATTTCTTTAATGAACACTGAACTCTGGGAATGCCAATGAATTTCAACACTTTAGTAATATTTACGATATCTTGTGATTTTATTAGTTTTAACATTTCCCTGCCTTAAACAAACACAGGGGACTGTTTGCACTACCAGAGGACTGACTCATAAATATATAAAATGTATATAAATATAGATATAAAATGGCTCCTAGAAAGAAAAAACTTACGGGAGAAGAGACATTTGAAAAAAAAAAACAGAAGTAGAACGTCGACATTACGAACGGATAAAAAAAATGATCCAATAAAAAGTCGAAAATACTTGAAGAAGAAAGAGAAAGGTAGTAGAAAATTAGTAAAAGACGTGAATCCGCTAGAACATAGAAAAGTAAAAAACGTACTGGCCTTATGAAGTAATGTATTTGCTTTATGTTTAGCTTAATTTTAAATTATTTCGTTGGATAATTCGAAAATTAAAATCTTTGGGACATTTTTTAAGACGAAATGTGTGTTCATGTTTGTAGAGAAATACCCAATTATAAAAATGTTAAAGAATAACAATATATGATACAAATTAAAGGTCCCGATTTTTAGGCCACACCTTTTTTTCGCAATCAAAACTGTCTCAACAGAAGTTAGTCACTCTGCCTAGAAGTGACGATTGTACTCAAACATCAAATCGTCAAGTGTGCACATTTACAAAAGTTCACATAGAGCATAAAGACTAATATCGCGGGCAACAAATAAGTTACGCATTATTAATTAACAATGTATTCACAATAATAATATTAACCTTAACAAAACAGCTTTACGCTCAAAACATTTTTATTATTACAAAACAGTAATTGTGAGCGGTACGTGCTTCTGCCTATTATTTTTCAAGTGATCTTGTCATCACTTTTTAGGATCCCTTCATTTATTTACTATCACATTAATTTCGATACTTGCCATGTATTCCGCTGAAAATCGATTAATTTTGTCTTTATGTAAAATAGTTTTTAAACAACAACAAACAATATTGTTATGTTATAGGTAGTGGGCAAGGATATTTAACTTCATACAAGCAACATTAATCAATCTAAAGTTGATAAATCAAAAATAATCCAAACAAATGAAGATGAACATGAACATGAGCAAACTAGAAATGATGAGCCCAAAGTAAATCAATCAAAGGTTGATCTAAAATCCAGAAAAGTAAAAGGTAATAAATATTCAAAGGGTTGTCAGTCGCCAAAATATGAAAATAAATCGGAAATCATTAAAAAAAGTGTAAGTGCAATTGCTTTGCACTTACACTTTTTTCATACAGGAAAGAAAAAAATCTTCGGACTCTGATGACTTGGTAATGATTTCTGAGGATTCCACAAGTTGTACAGAATTCAAAACTGATATAAGTACCAAAAATGAGAAAAGCACGAAAATCAAGCCCTTGTCATCAAAACCCGAAAAGAAAAAAATACTAAAAATGGGACCATTAACGACAGCAGAAGATAAAAAAAAATCTTCGACTTCTCCAAGTCCACCAAAGCTTCAAACTTCTATCCCAGAAGCAGTCCCCGTTGAACTGTAAGTAGCAAAAATGTGAACATTTATTTTATTCGCAAAGTTTTAAAAAATCCTTCAAGAAACATACAATTAGAAAACTTGTCAGAATTATATTCTGGGTGTGTTCTCGATTATTAGCGATCTTGTTCGCCAATAATTCGTCTAATGATAAGAACATACAACTATCAGGTTTGTCAGAACTGCCAATAAAAGAGTTGAGATGCCAAGTTCTGTACAAGTTCCATAAATCATAACTATGGTATGGGTAAAAGGGCAACATTTTTCAATCGATTCAAAGCAAAGATTTGTTACGACTCTTTCAATTTGAATCTATTACTTGGTATATTTTGATAGTCAATATGTAACATTCATATTTAATTTAATTTTTTGTTGTAACAAAGTTTAGATAAAGTTACAAAGAAAATAAGTAATGCATTATATTGTTAAAAAAAATTAAATATCCTACCTATAAATTGACCTATTATTTGCCAATACTTTTAGTTTGTTACATTAAAAATAATCTATGACGCCCTGTTTAAATGTTACATCTCTCTATTTCACTTTATTTTATTAATACGGTTCTAGTAATAATTATACATCATAAACATAATAATTATATTTAATGATTGTTTTTTATATAGTAAACGTGACGAACGAGCACACAGTCCACCTGATATTAAGTGGATGCTGTGGCTCATAGACGTCTACATTTAACCTCGATGAAGAGTCAAAATGCAGATTCGTTATCACCCTTGAGGACTAAGATGTAATGCCTCGATTCCAGTAAAAAGGGTCTGTTTCCTCTAATTGTTTACAAGTAAGGCCCTTCTACCACGAGACTAAAATAACGGAACTGGTTAAGTTATTAAAAAAATAATAACGCATTTCCACGTAGCGATATACGCTACATGCGTTATTTGTATAATCTTCAAAAACACTTAGCATGTCTAGTAGTATTAAACACCATGAATGAATGTAATATTATATTTATCGATAATATATAATAGCTTTTATTAACTTTTTACTTTCTAAGATTATATATTGATTGGTATAATATTATAATTATATTGAATGGTAACTGTAAGTCTATGCAAGCATCAGTACTTTACTAGTAGAAGCAATGTAAAATTCTTTTGACAAATTTCTATGTATTTTTTTAAATATAAATTTTGCTTAAAAATGAACATGAATTTTACATCAATTTATTGTTGTAAATGAAAGTTACAAGTGGAGCTAAGATAAAGTGTAATATTCCTGTTTATGTTCTAGAATTAGAAGTTCAACAAATTCACCCTCCCAACAATCAACGATGGCACCTGCTAAATGCATTCTTCCCGACGATGATGAAAATTTCCTCGACAGCGATGATGATGCTGTTTACCTGATTAACGAACCTTCTTCGCCGGCAAGCAAAAAGTCCCCCTCTCAGCAACGCATCTCGAAACCTTTCATATTTGGCAACATGTGGGACTCGAAAAATTCTTCCCAGAATACCGAGGTAGCGAGTGATACTCCATCAATATCAACACCTCTTACACCACCCGTAACAAAAATCTCCTTAGAAAATCAAGCAAATACACCAAACAACGAAGCTTCGATTATAATTCCCGATGTTTACTTAGATAATGATCCGATGGATAACATAAATGAACAAGTTGCTATTAAGGACACCACCGTCACGAAAACGGCAGTTGGTCCTCATACAATCTGCTTAGACAGTGATGAAGAAGAAGATACTCCTGTAAGACATGAGAAGGCTAAAGATACCGTTACTAATCCAGCTACAAATATACAAATTACTCAGCCACCTGTCTCTGTTACGACAGTGGCATCGAATGTCGTACCACTTCAAAGCCCATCAACTTTAAACACTCCCGTGTCTGGTACTCCAGAAGTACCGAATGCAGCACCAGATAATCGAATTATGATTCCTTTAGATCAATTACAGCATCGTTTAGTCCAAATGCAGGTACTAGTAGTTCTGCTGCAAGTAAAGTTAATCCAATAAAAGATATTAATCTTACCAATAAAACGCCCGTTAAAAATAATGAAGTTACAAATACACCAACTTCTACTCCTATAAAACGAATATGCAAACCTGGTGATATTATACGAATCAATAGCAGCAGAGAAATTGTAATACTAAACAAAAATTCCCATACTGTTTCAAAATCAATTGCAAACACAATAGTGAAAGAAAAGGTAACTGCAACACCCAAACGAAACGAAAAGGTAACTGTAACTTCGCCATCAAATGCAGTAAAGGCTGTAAATATAAACAAGAAAAACGTAGACAAGTTAACCAACAAAATCGAAGATCCGAAAGTACGACATGAAACAGACGCACAATGTTCCAGTTGCGGCAACCCACTCTCTATATTGAAAAATGTAGTCCACATAGAAGCCGATGAGTACGATGACTCTGAATCCAGAAAATCAATAAGTAATCAAGCGCCGAAAAACAAAGAACTGATTGTGCATACAATTGCCAACGTTAAATCAAATATTGACAACTTAACGGAATATGTGCCTATTCAAAAAGTAACAAATATGAATAAACCTATGATTTTAAATAACACTTTAGGAGGCCCTGCTACAAACATTCAAAAATTGTCTTTTACACCGTCATCCAAAAAGAACTTGGCTAAAACAGATTTATTGAAAAGAAAAATTATCGTTACGAATTTAAACACTGCCTCAAAAACAAACAGTGTTATTATCAATTCTGTTGATCTCACGGATACAGTGTCTGACAACAAGAGGAATTTTGTGGGCAGAGTTATTGCGATTGGAAGTAAAAACAAAAATACCTCAAAAGGTTATGTAGCGACCTTATCTGGATCGGCAAAAGACTTCAAGATTGTTCGGACTGGAGAAAAGTCTTCGCCTTTATCGATTTCGGTGGATTTGACGTAAGTATATTTATACCATTTTATAATTAATAGCTATATTCTACAGCTATCGACTTAGGTAACTTGTTTGCGCGTTTCACTCGCTTAGCTTCGGACGCAAGGTGATAACCCTTATTTGAGTATCTAATGTAGTGTACATAGTAAAGTAAAGTTACAGCCTATATACGTCCCACTGCTGGGCACAGGCTTCCGCTCATTTCTGAGAGGGTTTTAGGGCAAGGAATTGTCCGCCGCGCTGCCCCAATGCGTGTTGGTGAACTTCACATGTCTTCGAAATATTTTTTTCTTATTTCTCTGACATGCATCCTCACGATGTTTTCCTTCACCGCCGAGCACGTGGTAAATCAGCACTTAAAATTGCAGTTAGCAATTTCATTGGTGCCGGCGGGGATCGAACCCGGTTTGCTCGCGTACTGTGAAATTTACAGCGAGCGCTAACCATCTAAGCTACCACGGCTCTAGTATACATAGGTTACCGACGAATTCACTCCTGTAATTTTACACTGCCAGGAGAAAGGTTAATGTCGAAAAAAATATTTTTAAATACCTTATAAAATGCGTATTGCTGCCATTTGAATCTTTTTAATTTAATAATTAAGCTAACCATTTTGCAAGTGTATTTTTTACTCAGATTTATTGCGCACTTTCCACCCTTAATTTGATATGTACACAGTAAACAATGTACATTTCTGACAATATTAGAGGTATACATCATACATTACGAGTTAGAGATTAACCTGCAAGTCTTCAAACAAAGAATACTTTATCATCTCTGAAGTATTATAAAGTATGTTAAGCAATCAATCACATGTTGGTGGTAGGTCCTTCAAAGTTTAAGTACTAGATAAGCGACCGATACCATCCTGTCAAAATTAATTGCTGACGCAGATTGCACCCGTTAGTATCACGATTAAGCAGAAAAATAATTTTTATATAGGTTGCAAATGCGCCCCCTGCCACGGTTGATGATGTTGCGGATTTCTGCAACATCAGGGGACTTCATTCAAACTTTTACGCCGTCCACTACTATCTGGAAACTCCGAAACCGACCTTGATCTTTCTAACCGAGACACAGGTGTCCTCTCCGATTGGCACTTCATATCTCTCCTACCCGGGGTACGGATTAGAACACTCCTGCCCCGGGCTGGAGTTTGTGTGTATGTCAGAGAGGACATCTGTTGTCGACGCCTCGGCAGCCTTGAAGGTACGAACCTGTCCATCTTATGGCTACGAGTAGAAAACGACGACCATCCCCGCGTCTCCGGGTGCCTATATAGGTCCCATAGCGGTAATGCCGATACAGACCGACTGATCAACCACGTCCAGATGGCTGCAGACTCCGTGCTACAACAGGTCCCATCCCACTCATGCTCCCATCGCGGTTGCGTACTACAGGTTGCCGCCGTGTTTGGCGTTATCAGCCAATTGGGACGGTATGCGATCTTTTTTTGGATCCTACCCTTGGATGCGGATTTGCTTCTCTCTGGATGATCCCAGCGTTGTTGCTGATTCTATCGCTGATGTGGTGCTACAGGGAATGGAACTATTTATTCCATCATCTGTGGTACCTATCGGAGGCAGAACCCAGCCTTGGTTTGGTCGCTCCTGCAAAATTGCATTACATCATAAACAGGAGTGTTACCAGGCCTGGGCTCGCCCATCGACGTCTCGGGATGTAAATACCAGCGTTCTTAAAAATAAGTATAATTATGCTTCCAGGTCATTCATGTTCATTGTCAACGCAAATCAGAACACATCGGCAATTGGCGAGAAACTTCTTCTTCGGGAACACGTGCATTCTGGTCTCTCGCCAAGGCGTCCCAGGGAACCTCTGCAATCTCTTCCATTTTTGCACAGGGAGGATGACTCACGGCCCGAAAGGACATTTGCGTCCAACTCTACCTTGATGTTACCCACGCTCGGTGCGCTGAGCACTTTCCCTGGACATCATCAAGTCTAATGGGTTGATGCCCTTCCTTTGCTGAAGACTGCTCCACAGTCAGCACCTGCCCTAACGCGTATTTTCCGGTACTCATACTCCTTAGGCGTAGTCCCGAAATCATGGATTCGTGCACCCGATCCCTAAAAAAGATAACCGCTCTGATCCGTTCAACTATAGGCCTATCGCCTATTATTTACATCTAGCTCATGCGGTATTAAGAGGGAGTGAGGATCAACAGCTGATTAGTGACCGCCAGTACGGTTTCCGTCGCTGACGCTCGGCTGGTGATCTTCTAGGTTACCTAACTCAACATGCGAAGACGGTAGATAAGGTTCCGTATGCACAGGCTTTCAATCGGGTTTGGCACAAAGCGCTTCTTACGAAGCTTCCTTCCTATGGCTTCCCGAGAAATTTTGCAATTGGATCACCAGTTTTCTTGCTGATTGCAGCATCAAGGTCGTAGTAGACAGTGCATGCGCCGATTACAAGCCCATTAACGCTGGTGTTCCTCAAGGCTGCGTGCTATCACCAACACGACAGCACTGGTGATGCTTTATACACCGGCCGTGCCAATATTTCTCGGGAAAACGTCGGCGAATAGACGTAGATGAATAGTGAAGTCGAGACTTTGTTGAACAAAATCTCGGACTGTGGGCGACTAAATCTAGTCCAGGTTAATCCTTTGCTCGTTTGCGCGTTTACCGCTATAAGTATAGTATCCCTTCGTCGTATCTCCTCAGTTTCAAGGCACTCCCCTTGTCGACATATCGAGTGACACGTCACTGCACTGTACAAACTGCACGCAGTTTCGTGGTCACTTGGAAGAGAAGGCCAAATTGGCTTCTAAAAAGCTTGGCGTGCTCAGTAGAGCGGGACAGTATTTCATGCCGGTTCACCGCCTGTAACGTTTCAAGGCGCAGGTTGCCTTGATTTTTTATAGAAGAGGGGGCAAACGAGCATGCGGCTCACATGATGTTAAGTGACTACCGCCGCCCATGAACAACCGCAACACCAGGGGAATTGCAGGTGCGTTGCCGGCCCTTTAGAAAGGAGTAAGCTCCTTTCTTGAAGGTCCCCAGGTCGTATCGGTCCGGAAAAATCGCCGGTGGTAAACTATTCCACAGAAAGGTTGTACGCGGAAGAAAAAAATATTGGTTGCCTGTAAAGTCGGTATACGGGCGAAAGTTTTACGTGACAACGACTCTCTCACTCTCTCTCTCTCGCTCTGTCTCTCTCGCTCTTAGGCGGGCTAACTGTGCTCGAGTGGAAGGGACGCGTGCCTTTCACTTTTTATGTCTGTCTCTCTCGCTCTTAGGCGGGCTAACCATGCCCGAGTGGAAGGGACGCGTGCCTCTCACTCGCTCTCATTGTGAGCGCATAACGTGAGCGGAGCGTAACGCAGTTTCTTGAAGTGTCACCCGGCAAACCAATTTATAAGACGTTGTCACGTCAAAACTCCTTGTGAAACGTACAGTGGTGGACCGCCAAGCATCCAGATGGAGTTTACGGTATCGGGACGTTTGCCGCGTAGTGCGTTCTAGAAATTTGGCGGCTGGGAGTAATCCGAACAACTCCTCAGAGCACTCTCCGTGATATATGCGAAATAAAATACGCAAAGAGATGCAACATCTCTTCGCAGCGCCAGTGAATCGAGCCGATCGGAAAGCACTCGGTCGTCGACGATTCGAGCCGCTCTGCGCTGGATGCGGTCAAGTGGAAGGAGCTGGTACTGGCGAGCCCCTGCCCAGAGATGGGAACGGTATTCCATGTGCGGCCGAACCTGCGCCTTGTAAAGTTGCAGGCGGTGTGCCGGCATGAAATACTGTCCCGCTCTGCTGAGCACGCCAAGCTTTTTAGAGGCCAATTTGGCCTTCCCTTCCAAGTGACCACGAAACTGCACGTCACTCGATATGTCGACGCCAAGGATTCCGATACTGGCTGAGGCAACAAGGGGAGTGCCTTGAAACTGAGTGGATACGACAAAGGGGTTCTTTAGCGGTTAACGCGCAAACCTTGTGCCTTCGGGGGGTTAAACTGGACTATATTTAGTCGCCCCCAATCCGAGACTCTGTTCAGCAAAGACTCGACTTCAGACACAAGTTTATTCCGGCACTCGGAGACGTTTTCCCGAGAAATATTGGCTCGGCCGGTGTAAAGAGCATCACCAATGCTGTCATCTGCACAGCAATGAATGTTACAGGTTTGCAACATATCATTGATATGCAGAAGAAACAGCGTTGGCGATAGCACGCAGCCCTGTGGAACAGCATTAATAGCATTAATAGGCTTGCAATCGGAGCTTGCACCGTCAACAACAACCTTCTGCTCCGATCTGCAAGAAAGCTGGCGATCCAATCGCACAATTTCTCGGGAAGCCCATAGGAAGGGAGCTTCGAAAGAAGCGCTTTGTGCCAAACCCGATCGAAGGCCTTCGCAATGTCCAAACTAACGGCCAATGCCTCCCCCTTGGACTCTACTGCCTCCGCCCATCTGTGAGTTAGGTAGACCAGAAGATCACCCGCTGACCGACCACGGCGAAAACCGTATTGGCGGTCACTAATCAGCTGGTGATCCTCAAGGTACCTCATGAGCTGGCAGTTTACAATGGACTCCATTGTTTTGGAGAACAAGGAGGTGATGGCGATTGGCCGGTAGTTGGACGGGTCTGAGCGGGTCGCCTTTTTTAGGGATCGGGTGGACGAAAGCCGTCTTCCATGATTTTGGGACTACGCCTAGGGAGTAGGAGTACCGGAAAAGACGCGTTAAAACCGGTGCCAACTCTGGAGCACACATCCTCAGCACAATTGGGGGGACCGTCAGGCCCACTCGACTTGTGAATGTCCAGGAGAGAGGAGTGCCAGGGAGGTTCGGCCGCACATGGAATACTGTTTCCATCTCTGGGTCGGGGCTCCCCAGTGCCAGTTCCTTCCATTTGATTGCATCCAGCGCAGAGCAGTTCGAATCGTCGGCGACCGAGCTCTTTCCAATCGGCTTGACTCACTCTCTATGCGTGTTTTATTGCATCTACCACGGGGCGTGCTCTGAGGAATTGTTCGGACTAATTCCAGCCGCACAGTTTCACCATCGCACACATCGCGACAAAAGTCGCAAATCCATCCATACCATCTGGATGACTGACGGTCCACCACTAAGCGATTTAAAAGAATTTTTCTTCCTCGCACAACTTCCTTGTGGAATCAACTACCACCAGTGATTTTCCGGACCGATACGGCTTAGAGACCTTCAAGAAAGTAGCCTATTCCTTTTTTAAAGGCCGGCAACGTATCTGCAATCCCCCCTGGTGGTGCATTTGTTTATGGGCGGCGGTAATCACTTACCATCAGATCTACATCCTAGTTTTTTATTAAACCAGAGACAAACTGGTCACACGTACGCAACGTATACAATGCATAATGACATCTGAATGTTTGATTTTGTATGAAAAACTATTCATTCGAAACACACTTGTTATGTGCAACGCAATCACACGCGTATTTATAATATTAATTGTGTAGAATCTCGCGTACTTAATTACGTTATATGGTATGGGAAGAGATAAATAATACACCTAGTGATTAGCTATCCACCTACTGCTATCATATTTGTTAATAACGTGAAAAGGAGAGATCGAGGCGCGAAATAAAAGAAGTTTTTATATTTCTGTCCTAGTTATGTTAAGATATGAAACATTATTTTTTAAATATTGCGGATATAACACATTGCATTTTACATATTCATGTATTTGTTTGCATTATAAATCATAAATCTTAACAGAATTACCATATCTTTTATCAGGGGTGCTTCTTCCAGTAGAAGTAATGACTTCATGGCAACAGTGGACACCAAAGCGAGTGACACTAAGAAAAGACAGAAGACGACCGTAACGTCGGAAATAGCTAAAAAAAATAAAACAGGAGTCATTCAGTTAGTACAAGTTGTTTTGCTTTCTTTAATAATCAATTTACAGCTCTTGTTCCAGGTCTAGAATAGCTTATTCCTAGGAAGTTCTCTCAGTTTTCTTCTTGATGGGGAGATTTTTTAAGAAGTACACATTTTAGTTTCTGCGTCTGTGGATGAATTAATCAAACACACGTTACGAAATGAGTTATACACAGCCATGTTGATCTTAAGAGAAAGTCTTTCGTAGCAATAGAGTATTTTTGTTATAGAGTTGTCGTTACGAAAAGGACTCATATTGTGAGTCTTTAATCACTATGAGTCTTTTTCATAATGAAATGGATAGAGAATGTAGGATATCCATTCTCCATCCATTACTCCCAGCAAAGTCCACTAGTGAACATAAGGTAGAAGAGATTTTGCCACATTTGCCATCCTTAGCAGGTGGCTTGGCGCCTTGTTGAAGACGAGGGAAGTTGGGAAGATACCGCTGGCCATCTCTTAGTTCAGTTTCCTTCTGCCGGCTCTTACAACAGCCACGGGTCGACATGGGTCCGTGGATATGCTTACACCGCCACTACACAGTAGGCTAATCTGCTAACCAAGTGTGATGATTATAGTCAATTCGCCAGGAAAGGCTCATGACACGGGTCCAACTATGAGCTAATATAAATACCTTAAGATATACTTTAAAAAGTTGTTTGAAATATCTAGTGTGATTTGGAATGTCAGTAACGTTTCTGTTTATCTTGCAAAGAGATCAGTCACTCCGATTTAATTTTGGCAGGTGATGACAGAGATGCAATATTAAATATCTATATATACAAATGAATTGCTGTCCGTGGGTCGCACTAAGGCTCAACAGATGTAGATGAAAGTTTTTTATGTGTTTAAATGGTTGGTGGTTTAGAGTTTAGTTTGATCTTCGCGGAATCATCTGCAAAGCGTAAAATCTCCCTCAAACACCCTGTAGTTTTTATCATTGTTTCATATATAGCCACAAACACTCTCCTTGCGTGTGTTTTAGCTTCTTTTAATCTTAATTAAGATTCGAGTTCTTCTTATTTTTCAGTCTTTCTTCAATAATAATATGCAAGTCAGATAAGACACAACAGTCTCTTTGGACAACCTAAAAAAGTTGTTTTTTTGAACAAAAGTATCTTCTATCCAGGGACATTAATACCACTTTATCTTGAGCAAACATTTGCCATCACCAATAAAAAACTAACATTTTATTAACATTTTAATTATTTTTACAGAAAAACTGACGCTGAAGGACTTTGACATCGAGGATATCGACGATATTATTGAACTCGACTAAAAAATTGAATTTTATTCCAATAATCATTACTTACGACTTAAATGTAAAATATGTTAAAGCTAAAAACTCTACCTTAGTGGTAATAAAGCTTTTTCCTTTTCTTTTAAAGTATTACGCTTAGTGTTTTATGTGTAACATATAAGACAGAAAGATTTCTGAAGGACTTTGCTTCAAATGAATCATTGTTACATTGAGTATAATGCATGGGTAACGCAACTTAAAAAAAATAGCATAAATAAGTTGATGAAAAGTAAATGCAAGTTTTTTGTTTTCATTATCTGAGTAACTTTTTGCGAGGTTAGTTAAAACTGACACCCGACTGAGCATACTGAAAAGATTTCTAAATTTTAATTCAATTTATAATTACTGACTAAAATTAAAGTTATTTAGTTGTTATTTTATAATGTGATACTGTTTATCTTTAAGGTTTTATTTTATTTTCCAATTACATGAATATTATTTTTATTAACAAGTAAATATCATAATTTAAAACGATTTTCAAAAGTGGAAAATGATAGTTGTGTATTGGTGTGATTGTTAATTTGTATTATTATTTACTATTAAAGTACCCGTGTGTATGTTTCTCGCTACACAGCTGAAAATTATAATAATTATGGATAGAGATATTCATTATTAAGTACATTTACTCATATAAGCCTTTCTACTACTCATTTTACTATTTCGATAATCTCGTCTTAAGGTAAAATACTATAAATGGTTATGATAATTGTCATATAGAAATCTTATGTTCATATCTCATAGTGAAAATTAAAATTTATTGGTTAAGAGCATGCAACTGTGTTTATAAAACTAAAGCAACTTCTGAAGATAACTATTTGCATTTCTGTGTGTCGGTAGTTGTATTAATATGTAATAAATAAAACAATATGATTAATATAACTGTCTATTCTCTTAAACTTACAACCTAAAATACTTACATTAAAATAATTAATGATATTACATTACATAATATATTAAAACTTCTACATAAAATTATTCGAAAAATAGTTTTAGAACAACCATAACTGACCATTAGTTATCACTTTAAACTCCAAGCTTACATTTTAAATATATTTTTAAAACAAATAACTCAATTAGATGAAGGATATTATTTATAAACATTAGGAATGTTATCGTAGTTACGTCTAAAACGATACCCACAAAACGGTGATGCTAACGCCGGTACCGGGAACTTGTAACGGTATTTATTTTAAAAAGCGTGCTTTTCCGTTTATTTTTATGTATTATTTAGGTGTTTTAGAAAAAAAAGCAAAAATAAGCGATCAAAAATAACAAATAGACGCCTAATGGGTGCGTTTGGCAGAAAAAAGCGCTAGCAAGCGCTTGTAAGCAAAATGGCGATCGTAAGCGGTAAGCGCTGTCAAATCGTAATCAGCTATTTTCCTCCAGGACACGATGTCAGTTTTAACCGGGGAACTTAACCTAATTTAAACATATGTTTGTAAAGTATTCATATTAAAAAACTTACCAATCATGAATTTTTAATAACATGTATATGTTTATTCAGTCATTATATTACTTAAAACTAAAATATTGCACAAAACAACTTATAAACTCTACTTCAAAACAAACAAATTAAATAAGCAAAATGGCGGATTGTGTCAGCGCTACTGAAGCAGCAATGGTGTCCTGGCCGAAAACTATTTCAGCGCTTGTAAGCGCTTGCTAGCGCTTTTTTCTGCCAAACGCCTAATGTATGCACTTATGAATCAAAACCTGTCTGTCAAAAGTCTGAGGTAAGCGGTACGGGGGAGGCGGGTTGAAATGCACGCTAATTGGTTAAAATCAAGGTTGCGACACTTGCTAATAGATAAATAGTGATGGGAACTTTAACTGATAAATTTAGTACCAAGTCTACTTAATCAGTACCAGAACCATATTCTACTATAAATTAGTACAAAATAAAAAAATTACAAAACAAATTTTATTTAAGTAGGTATCGTATTTAGTAAAATACCTATAATTTTCTGTTTTAAAGATTATTTTTATTAAAACAAGCTTTCTTTACAATATTGAAATAATAATAGAATACTTTTAAAAATAAAATAGCAACAGTTATTTAAACTGTCAAGTTCACTTCCGATTCCTACTTGTCTTGACATGGCGTCTCAGCAGTAAAAAGAGCGGAGTGCCGTCTCTTAAAAATTATATCAATTTTATTATGATTTTTTTAAGGAATTTTGAATAAATTGATTTAATTATTAAATCAATAATTAATTCAAATATTGATGAACGACCATTTACTAAAAAAAAATCCGCTTACACCTATGTCGTTTATATAAGCCTGTAAAACATTCACGGTAACATGCATAATATTTACTTGTACCAATATTATAGTTCAACTGGTACAGCACTAGTTACACGTGTCGGTCATTAAAGAATAGTATAGCAACAATGAACTGCATTGAAAAGAAAGGGATGCATAGTCCGAAAATATCCGAAGATGTCCGAATAAATCAACGCCTGTTGATTTGCGATAAATATAGGTAATTTGGAAATTAAAATTCACTTATCTATGAAAAGTGATGCCAATTTTTTTAAATTACATATTTGGCTACTGTTTCCGCACTATTTTGTTGTACAGGGAACCATGTTGCGCGTCTGTTGTATTTTATTTTGTAGAAAATTCACGAGTCACATGCAAGATGTTGACGGGTCAGGGAATGGTCGCTACCTTCTGTATATATTACTCTACTCTATGGTCGCTACTAAAGCAGATTGCGCTATCGTTTTCTTAAGTAAGACGTATTTGTCTAACGTATTGACAGAAAGTGTTCGCCTTGCATGGGGCGTTTATTCGGGCTGTGTGGTCGTTTCCCGCCAAGATCTATTTTAATTGACTATTTTTTACATGACAAATGATAGGCCATAGAATAAACACAGCCGTGCAATCATAGACTATTATACTACTGCGTAGAAATAAAGATGTTTCCAAAGACTTACCAGTGACTAATGAAGTTGATTTGTTAGCTGAAATAATGCAGGATAAATTAAGTTCTTACTCTGAAACAGAAAAAAATATTGCTTTAAGTTTAGTAAGGGGTAGGAAAACAGAAAAGATAGCAAAAAAAATCTGATTTGTAAAACAAAACAATTCTGCCTGATGAAATACAATGTAGTAATGTTGAGGATATATCCAAAAATGATAACAAAAATTCGGATTCAGACTTCAACCTCGAATATAGATCATCAACAAATATGTTAATGATCTATATTCGAGGTTGAAATTTTGAGTGATACATCAGAATTAAAAATTGATTAAAAAAGGTGTCAAATAGTCAATTTAATGAAGAAAATGAAGATTCAGCTAGGCTATACACGCCTGCAATAAATCCTGAAGAGCCCATAGAATTATTACAATGTGAACCCAACTTGTTCTTTCTTAGCAATGATGAGAAAAACGACAACCGAGACGAAAGAGGTCAAGATTCAAATACAAATTTTGGAAACGATTGTAGCAGTAAAGATGTAAAAACTAAAAATCTTTTATCAATAAATTTTAATGAGTGGAATGTTATCCTGTCGACTCTAAATTGTGTCAACCAGCAGTTGTGGTTTTAAAAAAATTACCAAAAGCATTTATTGAGACATATTTCAAATATCAAGATATAATTCACCAAAATAAAGATGATATTGAAGTAGAAAGGTAGGTAAAGAACCTAATGTTTCATTTAATTATTTACAGAGCAATATGAGAACTTTTATTGTTCTTTTCAGACTAACAAACTTCAATCATTACATCGAATAAAAAAAATCTAAAACTCAATTCAAAAGCAACAGACAAGTCTAATGGTAATATTTTACGAAAATCCCTAAATTCTTGTTTAAGTTCGCCATCTTTAGATATTCATCAAGATAGTGATAGCAAAGAATTAACATCCTCTGAAGACGAGGTTGCCGTGTAGTGGCGGTTGAGAATATCCACTACCCCATATCTTCCCGTGGGTGTCGTAAGAGGCGACAGAGGGACACAGAAAGGAGATGGGCAACAGCACCTTCCTAATAACAACAATAATATAATTAGAAACTGCGGTTGCCAACCCGCTCGCCAAGCGTGGCAACTATGGCAAATATCCCCCCATGAGCAACGACGCAAATAAACGGCTCCTAGTCCCCGGCGGCTCCGCTATTCCTGGCTACGGTGGTGATCATGGTAACGGCGGGGCAGGGGGTGGTAAGAATCTCCGGTGGAGGTTCGGTTGCCACCTACGACGACTCGACCTTGCAACGTATAACGCACGCATCCTGAGGAATGACGAGAAGATACTGGAGCTGGAAGAAGAGGTAGACAAGTTGCGCTGGCATATTATTGGATTATCTGAGGTCCGAAGAGAGGGGGAGGACACGGTAATCCTCGAGTCCGGCAACTTGTTCTATCACCGGGAGGGGCGACCATCTATCCCAAGGAGGTGTCGGATTTATCGTCCACAAGTCTCTCTCAGCTCATCTACAACGTTGTAAAGATTGGGAGTGTGTCGACGAGGGTCTCGTACCTGATACTCAGAATCACCAAACGGTATTCGCTGAAGGTCATACAGGTCTACGCACCAACCTCGGCACATCCCAATGAGGAGGTGGAGGAAATGTATGAGGATATTTCTAGAGCCATGCATTCCTCCAAAACCCACTACACGGTGTTGATGGGAGACTTCAACGCAAAGCTAGGCACAAGAGAAGGCGGTGAGCTGAAGTTAGGGTTAATTTGGAGTAGGGCAACGGAACCGTAGGGGCCAGCAGCTGGCTGACTTTATAGAGAAAGAGGGACTCAATGATGAACTCTTTCTTCCAGAAGCGGCCCCACAGGAAGTGGACCTGGTCGAGCCCCGACGGTTCGACAAGAAATGAGATTGACTTCATTATGACGACCAGACGCCAACTGTTCAGTGATGTCTCAGTAATCGCAAGGGTGAAAACTGGCAACGATCACCGAATGGTTAGAGGC